AGACTTCCATTCTAGCAATATAACAGACCAACTACTCTCTACAACTATTCCATGACAAAATGCCTCAAAACACTAGCTCAAATATAAAAGGCAAAAGCATGAATCCAAAAACATAAGGCTGAAATTGGTGGCTGTTTTAGAGACATCTGCTAACCCCCGGTGACAAAGCTTCCATCTAAGTGGTTTCTCAGGAGACAGCAGACTAAGCCTAGGGCTTGTGCAAGAACAGGGACTGGAATGTCCCTGAGTAACACTAGGACTCCTGCAGGTTCCACTGTCAGAGAAAGGGTAAAAGAGAAAATACCCACCCTGGGAAGGGAGACAGAAAAGAAATGCCCTTATGTTGGCTCAGAGTGAGGGGGAAAAGATCTTCCCCTAGAATTCACAAGTTAGTCCTCTCATGGGTTTATAGCCTAAATCCACTCTACCTAAATAAGCAGAAAATTTTAAAGCTTAGATTTTATTTTTAATGTTTATTTATTTTTGAGAGACAGCATGAGTGGGGGAGGGGCAGAGAGAAAGGGAGACACAGAATCTGAAACAGGCTCCAGGCTCTGAGCTGTCAGCACAGAGCCTAATGCGGGGCTCGAAATCACAAAGTGGGAGATCATGACCTAAGCCGAAGTCCCACGTTTAACCGACTAAGCCACCCAGGCGCCCCAAGCTCAGATTTTATTTTAAAGTAATTTACAAGTTGGTAGTATCCCCAGGTAATTGAAAGAAACAAACACAAATCCTCTGGAGGAAAGCGCCTTCAATCCAGACCTCAAAAGTTCCCTAAATTTCTTTCAAAAATGAGTTCACAGAGGTGTCTGGGTGGCTCAGGTGGTTAAGCATCTGACTTCAGCTCAGGTCATGATCTCACAGTCCATGAGTTCAAGCCCTATGTCAGGCTCTGCTGACAGCTCAGAGCCTGGAGCCTGCTTTGGATTCTGTGGTCTCCCTCTGTCTGCCCCTCCCCGGCACATGCTCACGCTTTCTTTCTCTTTCTCTCTCTCCCTCTCTCCCGGCTCATGTTCACGCTTTCTCTCTCTCTCTCTCTCTCTCAAAAATAAATAAACATTAAAAAAACTTTTTTAATGAGTCCACAAATAAAAATCCCAAAACACAAGGAAACAGGAAATAAGACACCATGAATGAGCAGAAATTATAAATAGCAGAATTAAGCCCACAGAGACATTGGATATTGGAATTATAAGACAGCCTATAAATAAGTACGTTTAATATATTTAAAGGAAAAAAAGAGGGGCACCTGGCTGGCTCAGTCAGAGGAGCATTTGACTCTTGATCTTGGGGTTGTGAGTTCAAGCCCCATGTTGGGTGTAGAGATTACTTAAATAAGTAAATAAATCTTTTTTAGAAAAAAGAAAGAGTGAAGGAAGTATGACTAAAGAATAAAAGACTAAAAACATGACAAGATGGGGCGCCTGGGTGGCTCAATTGGTTGAGCATCCGACTTGGGCTCAGGTAATGGTCTTACAGTTTATGGGTTTGAGCCCCACATTAGGCTCTGTGCTGACAGCTCAGAGCCTGGATCCTGCTTTGGATTCTGTGTCTCCATCTCTCTCTGCCTCTCCTCCACTCACACTCTCTCTCTTAAAAACAAACAAACATTAACAAATTTTTGAGAAAATGACAAGAGAGCTTTTAAAAGGTACAATCAGGGGCACCTAGGTGGCTCAGTCAGTTAAGCGTCCGGCTCTTGATTTCAGCTGAGGTCATGATCTCACAGTTTGTGGGTTCTGGCTCCGTGTCTGGTTCTGTGCTGGCAGCGTTTGGGAGCTTGGGATTCTCTCTCTTTCCCTCTCTCTTAGCCCCTCACTCACGTTGTCTCTGTCTCTTTCAAAATAAATAAACTTAAAAAAAAAAAGGTACAATCAAGATCTAGAAATTAAACATATAATTAAAATAAATAATTTAAAATTATTATTAAAATACATAATTAAAATTGCCATAGATGCTCTGAAGGAAAATTAACAATGCTATGAACACAGGGGCACCTGGGTGGCTGTCGTTTTAGAGTCCGACTTCGGCTCAGGTCATGATCTCACAAATTTGTAAGTTCGAGCCCCATATTCAGCTCTGCACTGATGGGGCAGAGTCAGCTTTGGTTTCTCTGTCTTCTTCACTCTACCTCCTACCCTGCACATGCCCTCTCTCTCTCAAAAACAAATAAATAAACGTTTTTTAACATTCTATTAAAAACATAAGAGTTGACTCTAAGGGTGCCTGGCTGGCTCAGTCAGTGGAGCGTGTGACTCTTGATATCAGCGTTGTGACTTCAAGCCCCATGTTAGGTGTAGAGTTTATTTTTTAAAAATAAAATATTTTTAAAAATAAAAATTGGGGCGCCTGGGTGGCGCAGTCGGTTAAGCGTCCGACTTCAGCCAGGTCACGATCTTGCGGTCCGTGAGTTTGAGCCCCGCGTCGGGCTCTGGGCTGATGGCTCGGAGCCTGGAGCCTGTTTCCGATTCTGTGTCTCCCTCTCTCTCTGCCCCTCCCCTGCTCACGCTATCTCTCTCTGTCAAAAATAAACATCAAAACGAAAAATTAAAAAATAAAATTAAATAAATAAATAAGGCCAAAAGATGACATGATCTTTCAATACAGAGCACTTTTTTTTTTTTTTTTAAAGTTTATTTGAGAAAGAGCACACACACGAGAGCAGGGGAGGGACAGAGCGAGAGGGAAAGAAAATCCCAAGGCAGGCTCTGTGGTGTCAGTGCAGAGCCTGACACGGGGCTCAATCTCACGACTCTGACATCGTGACCTGAGCCGAAAGCAGGAGTCTAACACTTAACTGACTGAGCTACCCAGGCGCCCCAATGCTAGAGCATTATCAAGTAAATCCACCTGAGTGAGGGTCACCAGATTATCTTGGGGAATGTAATTTTGTTTGCTTAGCACCCAAAAGTTTTACAACTTCCAAAAGTTAGAGGGTAATGTGTAGAAAACTAATAAGGTGCAGTGATTTTTTTCTAGTCTACTAAAGAAAATAACCCCAAAGTTACAGTTTATTGCCCTATAGGACATTAACTGCGTTTATACCTAAGCATCCTTCTTCAGCAGTTCTTTCCTTGATAATAATATAAATCTCAACTTTTCATATCTTCATGGAACCAGTTTTATCATTCTGTTAATTTCTTCATTACTAAGGTAAATAAAATTTTGAAAATGTGTAAAAAAAGAAAGAGTATAGTATAAAGAGGACTTAGAGCTCAAAGGCAAAAGATTAGCTTCACCTCAGTGGAAGAGAACAGGGTATTCCAGTAATTCTGGAAATTGCTATCAGCAGAGTGGAGAGCTTCCCAAAACTCAAGTTTATATATAGGGCCTAAGAACAAAACAAAACCAAAAACACTGCTTTCCCAAGGTGAGGAATAAAAGGGATGAGTAATTAAGAGAGGCAAGAAGGATGAGAGCAAACGTTTTTTCATTACAGAAAGGGAAAGGCAACATGAAATATTAAGTATGCCCAATTTCAGGCCCCAAAAGATGTAGAATAAGGCTCTTAGTTCCTTGGGGGAACTTGGGGAAGTTTCAAAGGATTTAATACACACCTACAAAAAAAGATTGGCACAGCCAGGATGTCAACAATGCTTTTCTTTTGAGGGTCAGGACTGTGGCCAAAATAGTTACCCTAAGAACAAGAACCATTCTTGAAAGGGTGTGTACACAAATCCAGAGGTTACTCTGACTCTGAACAATACTAGGGATCAGAAGTACTAAGTGATTTTAAATTCCCTGAGGACAGGACCTTCCAGATATCCTGAAGACACACCGATTCCGCCTCTTAAACTGCACAGACCTCCCAGCCTACTACTGAGACTCGTGGCTTGCTAGAGCAGTCTGGAGGCGTCTGGAAGGTGGTCGGCCTGTTAATCTTATGTAGTATGGATGCCTACATCATGATCATGCCACACACTGTTTTGTCATCCTCTTAGTCATGAAGCACTATAGACTACAGACACCCTGTCCTCAAGAGGGTGATCCCTGGAGTCAAAGGTGCCTCATACCCACCCACTACAAAAATAAAAGGTGTCAGGAGCCTCAGAAGAGATGCGAATAGGGTCAGGCTTACATGTCAATAAAACCAGTGACTGTGGAGTAGAGATAGGAGGTGAGAGAAAGCAAGTAGAGAGGCAGAAATAAAATTTACCTTGGGCAGAACAATTTCCTTTAGTCAAGTTACATGTAAGTGATCCATGGGGCAGTTCTTGGACCGTCCCATTTCCAAACATTGTTGGACTGAGAACAAAGGGCAGAGGATGTGCAAAACAAATGCAGGTCCCCAGCCGCTTAAGGACCCATATTATCTAAATGGTTTTTTCTTTGTTTTTTTTTTTGGTTTTTTTTTGTTTTTTTTTTTTGAGAGAGAGAGAGAGCGAGCGAGCGTGAACACGAGTGGGGGAGGAGCAGAGAAACAGGGGGACAGAGGATCCGGAAATGGGCTCTGTGCTGACAAGCAGCCAGCCGATGCGGGTTTGAACTCACGAATTGTGAGATCATGACCTGAGCGGAAGTCCGCGGCTCAACCGACTGAGCCACCCAGGAGACCCAAGAACCCCTATTATCTAGACTGTTGTTTCCCAGCCACGGCAAAACTTCTTCATCCCCTTTCCTTAATTTCTGAATGACTCAATGGGTAAGACTTTAGTAGCGGAAAGAAAAAGCCTCCGCCATGGAAGCAACAGCTGGGGCTCGCAAACCAGGAGCCTGGGAAGCAGCTAGGCAGCCATTAACAGGCCCACATCGGCGCAGCGGAAGAACTCGAGCCCACCAGCCCCAGCTCCCGGGTCGCCGTTACGTAACCCACCGCGTGCCCACCGAGTATCGGAAGACCCCGCCCAGCCCTAAAGCCCCGCCCCTACCGGCCGGTGAGGTGCCGTGCGCAGCTCTAGGGAAGCTTCCTCCCCTTTCCCCTTTTATGGGAGTACCTTTTTTTTTTTTAAGATTTGCTGACGTCACCGAGTAGGGCTGGCTCTGAAACCTTGATATAGGAGGCCCTCTCTCACTCCTTACTTCCGCTTCCTTCAACTGAGGAGTCAGGGCCTCCTCCATTTTTCTCACCCAGGAGGAGGAGGCGGCGGCGGAGGCAGCAGCAGCAGCTTACGATGTTTGGCCTCAAGAGAAACGCTGTAATCGGACTCAACCTCTACTGTGGGGGGGCCGGGTTGGCGGCCGGGAGCGGCGGCGCCTCCTCTTCGGGAGGGCGGCTTGTGGCTGTGGGGAAGGAGGCCACGGCCAGGCGAGAGGTAGGGGGAGGGGAAGCCGGTGCGGTGATTGGCGGAAGCGCCGGCGCGAGCCCCCCAGCCACTCTCGCGCCCGACGCCCGGAGGGTCGCGCGGCCCTCGCCCATTGGTGCCGAGGGTCCCGACGTCACCGCGACCCCCCCGAAGCTGCTGTTCTTCGCGGCCACCCGCTGTGCGTCGCCGCCTGAAAAGATGGAAGGCCCAGCCGCCGACGCCATCATGTCGCCCGAAGAGGAGCTAGACGGGTACGAGCCAGAACCTCTGGGGAAGCGGCCGGCTGTCCTGCCTTTGCTGGAGTTGGTCGGGGAGGCCAGCAGTGGCCCCGGCACAGACGGCTCACTGCCCTCGACGCCACCCCCAGCAGAGGAGGAGGAGGACGAGTTGTTCCGGCAGTCGCTGGAGATTATCTCTCGGTACCTTCGGGAGCAGGCGACCGGCGCCAAGGACGCGAAACCACTGGGCGGGTCTGGGGCGGCCAGCCGAAAGGCGTTAGAGACCCTCCGACGGGTCGGGGACGGCGTGCAGCGCAACCACGAGACCGCCTTCCAAGGTAAGGGGGTTGGTTAGTCGCGGAGGCTGCGCTGCCCTGGTTCACCTGTCCCCGGACTTACCCACCGAATGGGGGTGGAAACCGAAAACAAGTCAGTGTTGAAACGACTCGCAATCTATTTCTGAAACCAGAATATTCTGGCCGTGAGTCATTGTTTCCGCCCATCTTAATTCTTGTGGAAATGGCAGCTCTGTTCAAAGCCCGGAAAGGGTGGGATGTCATTTTTCAACTGGGGTCGGCCCGAATTCTGTGGACCCCAAATAGCGATTTCCCCCGCCGTGGGTGGGCAGACAGATCATGCGCCGGTTTAGACAAAGGAGGCCGTGAGAACCTGCATGCTTTTCTTCCTCTCAGGCATGCTTCGGAAACTGGACATCAAAAACGAAGACGATGTCAAATCTTTGTCTCGAGTGATGGTCCATGTTTTCAGTGACGGAGTAACAAACTGGGGCAGGATTGTGACTCTTATTTCTTTTGGTGCCTTTGTGGCCAAACACTTGAAGAGTATAAACCAAGAAAGCTGCATCGAACCATTAGCAGAAAGCATCACAGATGTTCTTGTAAGGACAAAACGAGACTGGCTAGTCAAACAAAGAGGCTGGGTAAGTTTGTTTTAAGGTCGAAGGGGGCCTTGGAATGGAAATGGAATGAAGGATTTTATAAAGAAGGTCTGGGGCTATCTCAAGCTTTTTATGATGCACAACTCAGGTTTCAGGCTCTAACTTACGGACCGGTTTGCCTAATACTGATTTAAGTAGTGGGCTCACAGAGATAGTGTGGTGTGACTGTCTTGAATTCTTGCATCAAAAATCCCGGTTCTGTAGCCTGTTTTACTGGCTGTTGAAACTTTTGTTTTTGGTATTGTAATTCAGCTGGATACTCTTCTGTGGATACAAATTATGAAAAAATAAGAATCACTTGGGCGGATGATAGTAAACCTCGTTTCTGAGTGTACCCCCCCCCCCCGCATTTGTTTTCTGCCGTCTGGTGTAAATAATATTTGGTTCATTATGTTTGGGGGGGAAACCTTAGATATTTTAATTCATCTTTCTTTATGAATAGTGTTTTTAAGCCATTGGAAACCCATACTTGAAAATGTACTTTTCTTTTTTGTTTTCTAGGATGGGTTTGTGGAGTTCTTCCACGTAGAGGACCTAGAAGGTGGCATCAGAAATGTGCTGCTGGCTTTTGCAGGTGTTGCTGGAGTAGGAGCTGGTTTGGCATATCTAATAAGATAGCCTTTTAAGTGCAATAATTGACTTTTAACCAACCCCAGGCACCAAAATCACATAACAACTGCTGTGAATCAAATGTATTTATGAAGTTGGACTTCAAGCTGTCCAGGCTGTAACCTCCAAGAGTTCTACTCTAGCAACGTAGAAAAGCAAGTGGCAAGAGGATTATGGCTAACAGGAATAAATACATGGGAAAAGTAGTCCCCCTTGAAGAGTCACTGTCTAAAGCAAGGTTCAATTTCAGCAACAGGCAAACTGGGGGGCCATGGAAGAGGACTTTTTAGAGTTAGTGAAGATGGTAGGCTTGAAAAGACTTGATTTCCTTGTCTAGAACAGGAGAGTGGCCAGTAGCCAGGCTAGTCATAGAGTCCATTAAATGTCCACTGAAATAATTAACTTCTTATAGTGTTAAAAGAGAAGCACTAACAATGGCAGTGATCGGTATAAAATGGATTTAAGCTACAGGTAATAGAACTATGACTAGAAGCCTCAGTACTGTACAACAGAGTGTGAAGGGAAGCTTTTTCTCTGCAATTAGCTTTTCCCAGGTGTACTTCTTCAATAGAAAGTCCAAGTGCTCAGGACTTTTTATACCTGTTCTACTTTGGCTTGGTTTGAGTGGTTTAGTTTATTAGCCTAGTAATGGCCAAGAATACTTGACTTAAGGCTCAATAATGACAGTTGCAAATATGAAAATATCCTCAATTTTTAAGACAAAAACAACTTGTAAATGTATTTGTCTGTAAAAATTGTATATATTTTTACAGAAAGTCTATTTGAAATGTAAAGGGATGAAAAGTCTCAAAATACATTAATTTTTTCATACCCGTTTGAAATTTCCAACTTCTGTAGTTAGGAATCTATTTCTTACAGCTTTTCTATTCTAAATTTTGTCCTGGTCAGTTATAGATTGTAGACAGAACCAGTTGATGTAAGTGTATGCAACTTGGTTGTAGTGGAACAATTCTGATTCATAACTGTGCAGACTTTAATTTTCCTATCTGATTTTGGTAAGTATTCCTTAGATTTTTTTTTTTAACTGCAATTGAAAAATTGAATGGAAATTCATCCTTTCACTTCATTACATGTAGGTTTTCAATAAGTGAGTCAAGGTGGAGTTTTAAGTTTGGTGGCGGTGCCAGCTGGTGACTTAGAAATAATGGGTTCTGATTGGGCAGCTACTCATTTCAGTTCTTTCCATTTGAGTTAATTTACTGGTGAAATTTAAATTGAGTTTATGAGCTCATCTTCAAAGCTTTTGCTAAAAGATTTTCAGCTGTTCCAAATGGGACATACTAGCAGTATGTGTATAAAAAGATCACATCAGGTGTATGAGAGACATTTGATCCCTTGTTTGCTTAATAAATTGTAAAATGGCTTGGAAAAGCAGGCTTATAGTCTAACCATGGTGCTATTATTAGGCTTGCTTGTTAAACACAGGTCTAAGCCTATCAATAAAACAAATACTTATGTTTCATTTCTATTAATGATTCCCCAACTTTGTTCAAATTTTTGCATTGGCATCTCTTTGGATTTCAGGCTTGATGTTTTATCAAACTTACTGTTTATTTTCTATACTTCCTTGAAGTATTTGCTGCTTGTTCTCCCTGTACAAATAGTTATATCAGTTCCTACATCCTTACCATGCCATCTCTGAACTCCTACTGGCCCTTTTAGTTTTTGGCACTATGAACCCTAAGTAACCCCCCAGGAGACCACAGACCTTCATCCTTAATGAATTTTATCCTTGGGAGGTGGTAGGTAGTACAGTGGGTGCCATGACCATGAGAGACATGTGGTGGTGAAGTCCCTTTTCCTTTGATTGGTACCTTTTCAGTTACTGCTTTATCCTATCTTTGGGGGAAAAGTTTTTAAAGTCCCTTTAGGAATTTTCAGAGAAGGGGGACAACAAATGGTGTGACTTTCTCTAGGTTCCTTTATGTTTGAAAAAGCTCATTTAAAATTACAGAAAGGGATGGGTTCTGTTAGACCTCAGAGTTCTATAAAAACTGGTAAACTGAAGAAAGCTTCTGTAGTAGATCTAGGGTCATTTGAAAGCTTCATCCTTGGAACGTAACCTTTGGTCTGTGGACTCCAGATAAAAACAGGCATGAATAAAATGACTAAGAATGTAATAAATAGGGAAGGATTGCCCTGCCTGCCCATCCTTGAGCCATAAGGTCATCTAGCTAGAGCTATTTTTACCTATGTATTTATCGTTCTTGATCATGAACCACTTATTTATGTCATGTCTATCTCTAAGGACCTGAAAGCACTTTATGTAGTTTTTAATTAATCTGAAGATCTGGTAAAGGTGACTAAAAGGCCTGTCTCCCCATATCCACTTGTGGAAATAAGCGCATAGATGGAGATTGGTGGAGTTTAGGGAACCCACCCCAATTTTCTAGGTGTGACTGCTGAAATATAGAGAAGGATCTTAGTTGAAACTTTGGGTCAGGGGCTTGGAGGGCTTAGCGCAAGTGCTTTGGGGAAGGTTGGGTGGTTTTGTAGGGAGAGGAGGCACGTGTCCTCAGTGCTGGCTAGCTGCATAGATCAGGCAAATCCTCCAGAATGGAAGGGGAGGGTTGTGTGGAAAGCTGGCTCTCAGCAACTTGTCTTCTGTCTCTCAGGGAAAACATGCAGTCCTGTAGTGTCCGCGCACACTCTGTTGGGGGCGAACATCTTGGTTCTGGTTAAAGAGCTCATGCTATTGACAGCTGTGCCAGGAAGGGTTAGGACCAACTACAAATTAACATGGGCTGTAAAATGTAGTGTGTTTCCCTAACTTCCTGTTTTTTCTGAGAAGAAAATAATAAACCTTTTATTCAAATGCAAGGTGTGGTATGGGTGTTTTCTAATTGATTATTGTCTTCTTCCCCCCACTTAGGCCTTTTTAGGGAAGTCAGCTGAGCAAATAAGTATAGGTGAGTTGACCAGCAAAAGCCCCATAAAGCTAATTTGCTCTCGGGCAAAGGATAGTTCCCTTCAAAGTAACCATTTCATTGAAATCAGGGGTGTTGGGTTTTGAAATGTATTACTGTGGTACTTTGGAGTAATTCTTCTACATTTTAAGTGAGAATCAAAAATCCTGATTTTTCTTTTAGTCACCATGTGCTGGTGTAATTTTGAGGTAAGCTGTTTCGTTACTGCATTTACTGTATCTCCCCATCTCAACCTTTTCAGATGAAGGAGCTAGAAGAATTAACATCCACAGTTTAAGAGTTTTGATAAGATTCTTGGTACTGTTTCAGTACTTTTCCCCTTTCCTCTCTCAAAAAGGAAGTGGAGAGTAAGCACTTAAATTTCAGAAACTCTATCTTGTCTTCAACTACCTTGAAAGAAAGGGAGCTGAATCACTATGGCAATGTGCAAATATGAAGTTTGCATATTGGTTTTAAAAGTCCTGAGCACCGGATGCCAATTGTATGAACAGGATTCTGTGCTTTTGTGCACTTAGAAGCACATTTCTGCTTGGAAGCTCCTATTTTTCTGGAGCCTGACTACCAGAAGAATGCAACTTTTTATCCTTACAAAGAAAGTGGTTACATACTAATGCACTCCTAAGCAGAAAATTGAGGGGAGGGTAGCTTAGGACCCAAGGGCCCAAATCTTGGCCCCAGCTAAGTTGTACACAGTGCTATTGCTCCCATTGATAGATTGTGATGTGAAGCCATTTCTGTGGTCATGTTCCTTAGTTTAACACCTTAAAAACTTGGCTCAAATGGTAACCAGGTAACATGAGTCACCGAGGGAGTCAAAATAATCAACACTTCCCTTCATTTGACACAACCAAGACTTTGTCTTTCAGTTCCTGTTTTTGTGACTTTAGAGCTACCTCTTGCTTCATATAATTTCCTTTCAGAAAATTTTAAAGCAGTTGTGACAGCTGGTGGATTTTACAAAAGTTAAAGTGAAGTAACTTGTACAACTGGTGTGTAGCATGGATCCAGCCAGATTCCCAGAGCATGGGTGGTTTATTCCTGGAGTTCAAGATGATCTATCTTAAATTATCCCTAGCTCTTTTTGGCCCCACTTGTTCAATGATTACAGAACTTTGTCTTCTGAACCCTACCACACTGTTCAAAGGCTTCTCAGTTTCCAGATTTGAAAACTTAGACCTTTGGTTTCAGAGTTGTTACAGTGTTATCTTAGTTATGTGAAGTATGTGGAAAGAAGGGGTTGGGAATCTGTCTCCAGGCAGATGAAACAGACCTAAGAATTCAGTGGGTTTTTTTTTTTTCTTTTTTAAGATTTTATTTTTGGGGCGCCTACCTGGCTCAGTTGATAGAACATGCGACTCTTGATCTCAGAGTCATGAGTTCAAGTCCCACGTTGGGCGTGGAGCCTACTTAAAAGATGAAGTAATCTCAACACCCAACATGGGACTCGAACCCACAACCCTGAGATCAAGAGTCCCATGCTCTACCAACTGACGTTAGCCAGGTGAGCTGAGAATTCAGTGTTCTTTACTAATAATTCTTGTGAGGTAAAAAGGGTACCTGTGGCAGGTTTTTGTACCCACAGCATACCTGGTTTCCCTTTGCAGTTCCTTTCTTTACCTGAATAGAATAGTAATTCTTAACTGGTGGGAAATCTGTGAGGGCCAAGAAAGCTACTCCAGATTTTACCCCTTCCAAGCATCCATTTCCAGGTCTTACTTCTGCCATTGGTCTCTGTATTCTTAACTCACTTTGCCTTCCTATTTCCTGTTCAAGGATTACTTTCCGTTTAGGAAGAACGTTTCAACTGTGCAATGAGCTGGGACATTTAATGAGCTCTAGGCAGCCAGATGTTTGTTGAGTCTCTTCATCCATTACATGTCAGTGAACTACTTGCTATTTACCTTGCACTGTTGGATGCTGGAATTATAAAGAGAATAATTCTTTCCCTCAAATTCTGTCAGAAAAAAAAAAAAAAACTAGGGAAAAGGATGTCTGCCTGGCTTAGTCAGTGGAGCATGCGACTCTTAATCTCAGGGTTGTGAGTTCAAGCCCCACATTGGGCATGGAGCCTACTTAAGAAAAAAGGAACAGTGGGAAGACACATGGCAACTAATGGTAGATCTTTGATTGGACCCTTGGTGAAAAAAGCTCTAGTGTGCACAATTAGGGAAATGTTAATATGGGCAGTATGTTAAATGGTACTGTATCATGTTACATTTCTTGAGTGTATTGTAGTATAGTTATATAAGAGAATGTTCTCAGGCTGAAGAGTTGAATGTATCACAAAACCATACAATCTAGTAGGAGTGATAACTATGGATGAAAATAATTAGAGTACATTTCATGAAGTGCTATGATAAAGATATTCTAAGATAAAGGGTGGAACAAAGCAGGGTGACCACTTCTGGAAGCAGATGGTCAAGGGTTCAAAAGAAACATTTGAGGTTGAACCTTAAAGAATGAGTAGGAAACAAACATGCACAGAAGCATGGAGTTGGGAAAGAACTTCCAGGAGTGCAGGGGGAGGGTGAGGAGGTTTAGGTCATTTTTTTTCTTCTCATTTCCTCCCCTGCCTGCCTTCCCCTTCATCATACATAGCCACTGAATGTATCTCTTCAGTTTCTTCCATTTGTGGCCTTATATAAAAATAAGGGGAGCCTGGGTGGCTCAGCCCAACTCTTGATTTCAGCTCAGGTCATGAACTCACAGTCCTGGAATTGAGCCCTGCATCAGGCTCCACGCTGAGCACAGATCCTGCTTGGGATTCTCCCTCTCTCTGCACCTCCCTGGCTTGTGCATGTGCTCTCGTGTGTGCTCACTCTCTAAAAATAAATAACATTTAAAAAGATGGAAAATCCCTGGTGGAGGAAAAAAAAAAAAAGATGTGTCTTTGGTCTTAAAAGTCTGAATTTGGTGTAAATGACACACAGCTGGGTGGATCGTGTTTATTTGGGAAGCAGAGAAGATAGACCCCATTGATTGTTTTCCCGTCACATCAGTGGTGGCCCTGAATACACTCGGTCTCAGATTATAGCCGTCCCTGGATCTTGGTGTAGGAGCTGGCTTCGGCAGACCTGCTTTGAATCCAGCTGTTTTGAATAAAGTCGTCTTCAGAACCTCACCTGGGGTAACTCCCTCGCCAGCCATCTGTCCTTTACCCACCCAGGTTCACACAACCAGGCAAAGGAACCAATTTTTCCAAGTCAGACCCAAGAGTGCTGTGCACTCTAGAGAACAGACTTTTAATAAAGGACAGCCTCCCAAAGCTATTTAACGGGACCCCAAGATACTGAATGGTGGCTCCACTCTTCCTAATCCCGTTCCCGTGGGAGACTTGATTACAGCTATTCCCATCCTGGTTAAAAAACCAGTTTGCTCTAACTGCCCAGTCTTCCCCACAGGCTGCATTCTTGCCCATGAGCTCATTGTTTTGGCTTCACTGCCTGTATAAATCCGCAGCCAGTGCCAGAGGTCTTAGCCTGGGCCCCCTAACTAGCTGGGGCTGCATTCCATTCAGAATTTCACCACCCCCACTTGGTTTTCTTCCCGCCCTCATGTGGTCACATGTGTGTGTTTATTCAAGTTAGCCTGGGACAAGGTGTGCTGGGAAAGCCAGCCAAGGAAGCAGACAAGGAAAAGAATGTTTAACTGTTAGGTTTCATCCTGGATTAGATGACTTTTCCACTTTGTTTTGATTAAGAAATGTCTTCAGTTCTGTGCCCCCCCCCCCAAAAAAGGTTAATTTTCTTGTCTAGTACGGGGAGCTGGTTTCACAAAATTTGCTACCCATTTGAGTCCCCCCCTACTTGGCTGAGCTGTCTCTCAGGTGTTGAGACTTCAGAGAGAGGTAGGGGTTTCACCTGGGAAGCCTTGCCTTGGAGGTTTCTGTGCTCAGATCTTTCATGAATCCCCACCCTCACCTCACACCTCCACTCCTGGAGCAGTTCCTACCCACCGTCTGTCCTTGTTGGGAATGGTGGCCAGGAGGGACAGCTGGGCTGCTGTAAAGAGCAGCTATTAGGTTTCGCTGCTTTGTTACTGAAATTTCCTCAGAGGATGGCTTGTTTATTTCCTGAGACCCTGAAAGCCCAGATCTAAGGCAAGGTGGGCCCACCCAGGCTGATGGGCTTTGGGAAGGGCATTTCTCTTATGTGGTCAAGTTTTGAATTAATGTTGTATGCGTAGCAGTATACTCCTTTCCTCTAACCCTCTCTTCATCTCAGAAAACAAAAAACAAAACTGCAGACTGAGGTTGTGGGAGGTGACATTTCTTCATTTCTCAGAAATCCCTCATCAGGCAAAGTAGAGAAACAGAAATAGGGAAATAACTTCATGTCGAAATGAGGTTGTGTGGTGTGTGTGTGTGTGTGTGTGTGTGTGTGTGTGTGTGTGTTTTGAAATGAGGTGGCTTGTTTTCAGTTTTAAGGAACAACAGCTTTGGAAGAGCTTGGTAATAGTGGAGAGGAAAGACAGGCAAGGCACGGAAAAGTACGGCATGCACATCCTAACCCCAACCTGAGAGCCTGAAGTTGAACCCATTCCTCCTCTAACTACTGAGGTTCTTTCCCAGGCCACTCCAGCAGCTCTCTGGTGCTGCCTGAGAAAATGCTCTGGTCCATCTGCTTCCTTCTGCACCTCCCCTTCAGCTCATGTGGCTGGTTGTTTCACTAGGATCTGCCTGCCATGCCCATGTACACCTTGTTTTGGACTACTCTTGCACATTCCTCCCTCAAATTCTACCTTCAGACCTCAACCCTTGAAACACCTCCTAGAGTTTCCCCAGTCTCCGGGGTCAAGGAGCCCAAAGTCAGAGTCAGGACTTGTGCTGTCTAGTTTGAAGTTAACGCAACCTGTTTATTGCTCTCAATCGACTCAGACTTAGGTACTTTCCTGAGGCTTTCTACTTCCTGTGGAAGAGTCCCCCCCCAACCCCCACCCTTTCAAGCTAACACCTCTTCATCACCTGCCTGTGACAAATATGCCCCCTCTGCTCTAACTTTCCCACCCAGCTGCCTCCCAGCACCTGAGATGGTGGTTTTGAGTGATGTTGGGAGGAGGGTAGGAATGTGGGAACCTCCAGCCCCACCACTCACGTCCAAACTACAATCTCTTGATTCTGGTTTGATTCTCTGTAGTGCAAGGAGAGGGGAGTTCTCCCTGATTCAGCTTACTCTGCTGGGGGAGCATGTTAAGTTAAAATGAAGTCTCTATCTGTAAAACTAGGCAGAAGGGGAGAGGGAGACATTAAAGAGGATCTGGTCGGAGAGAATTTGGAGGGGAGTTTCTCCTGGCATGTTGTTCCCACTCTATCCCTCCGCCCTCCCACTGCCTAGACCCTCCAACCATATTTCTGCTCTCGAGGACTCCTGAGAGAGGGAGCCTCAAGGCTGAGACACTCATGCCATGCTGGGAGGCCAGCCAGTGGACCCTGTGCTCTGTCTCACTCCTAGTTAGCAGGCACTGAAGCTGCTGGGGTGAGGAGTATGGGTCTCCACAGACTCACCCCTGCAGCTGTGAGCACCTGCTTGCAAGGAGGCCCAGAGGGGTGGGGAAGTCTAGGAGATAAATTTAGTCTGAAGGCTGCAGCTTGATTGGGTTGGGTAGTTACCCTGGGGAAGCTAGGTTGGGGGAGGGGAGAGGAATTCTGACCTAACTGAACTGAGACCTCATAAGTTCACCCCCTCCTTCCCCCCTGCCACACACACACTGAGAAATGAGGAGCCCTCGGCAAGACACTGGCTGGCCTCTTCACGCTTGCTCTCTCTTGTGCATATCAAGATTGTTCCTATAACCACCCCACCCCCACCTCAGGGGTCCAGTTCCTCTGAGTCCTTCCCTAAATTCCCCCCAGTGCACCAAGCCTAGAGGCCCCTCTACCACATCTCTCTGGCCTTGGCTTGCAGCTTCCTCTATCCCAAGTCCCTCTAGAGGGTTTCAGAGGTCAACAGAGAGGTGTCTGGCCACACTACTACCCTCTATGGGACCAGGAAAAAGGGTTGCTCAGGGTCAAATTCCCCTTCCTGAAAGCTTCCATGTTGACCCCATACTTACTTCAGTGACCCGAGGAAAGAATCCTTAGGGGCTGCACTGAATCCTACTTAGCTTTCAAATGAAAGGGGAGGAGCCCCTGGGTGGCTTATTTGGTAGAGGGTCTGACTCTTGGTTTTGGCTCAGGTCATGCTCTCAGGGTCGTGGGATCGAGCCCAGTGTCAGGCTCTGGGCTGAGTATGGAGCCTGCTTGAGATTCTCTCTCTTTCCCCACCAGCTCACACTCTTTCTCTCTAAAATAAAATGAAAGGGGACAGGGGGAAACCCCCAAACAAAAGCCCATATCCTGAGAAGTCAGAGGCTGGTCGCTGTGAGGGAGGTCAGGGGCAACCAGAAAGAGCAAGGAGGTGCGGAAGTTGGGGGAACCCTAAGAGGGGCTGTGGCTGCATTGCCCACCTGTGATTGGTTCTCAGGCTCAGGCCAAACTCCAAACCTGCCCAGCAACAGCCCTGAGAGGCCCTAAAAGGGAGGGAACTTCAGGGAAGTCAGCTGAGCTGGGGCCACCGCCCAGGCTGCAGCTTCCAGGAATCGCTGGGAGGGCCCCTGCTACTCACTGTCACCCCTCCCTCCATGTTAGGACTCCGCCTTCAGCTCTCAGTATCCACCCGGCTGGCTCAGGCCCCACTTCCCTAGTCCCCCCCATCTCTGATCCCCTCACAGGTTCACTACAGAGAGGAACATGTCTGACACCTCCTCTTGAGGCTCAGGGTCTTCAGAGACATTGACATTGGGCTTGCCTTGTACCCTCTTTCCTCACTCGTTCCCTTTGGGCTAGTTTCATTTTCCTTTCCCTCACTCCCTTGGCCTCCTTCCTCACCTACTGTCCTCCCAAGAAGTTGCTCAAGGTCTTCCTTCTCAGCCACTTCCAACCCAGGGAGAGTCTAAGTCCCAAGGCAGCAGTATGACACCAGGGAGCTGCTAGAGAAGTCCTGGTATCCTTCATGAGATTTTGATGTGTTCAGGAAACAGCAGAGTTCAGTTGTTTCCGCAGGCCTTTATTAACGGTCTTACTTGGCCAGACTTGAGGTACAGGGATGGGAAGAGGGAGGCCTCTAATGCGGATGAATCTGTTTCTGTTGCACTGCATCCCCCTTCCTCTCCTAGGCACAGGGACCCCTGGAAGTGTAGCTTCCGGAAGTGGAGACCTGCACTCAGACCTCAGAATTGCCGGGGTCAGGGAAAGGATCTGTATTATATGTAAAACGCTGCTCACTCACACACCACCTCTAGCAAGCTATTTACCTTGAGAGATGACAAGGGCGAAGGAGGGAGGGAGACAAGCGTGATACATCTCTGAAGAATGTGTCTTTGGCAGGACATCCAGTACTGACTTGGCTCCGCCCTCAACCCCGCCCTCAACCCCTAGAGCCAGGCCAGGCTCCTCCTCCTCCAGCCGTTTCCGCTGAGGGAAGGGGGAGGGGCATAAATCAATTTACCCCTACCCTAGCAAAAGCAGTAATAAACCAAGATCCTAATAGAGAAATAAATGACTGATAGCAGAAAAGACGGGGGAGGCAGGCAGGGCCAAAAAAAAGAGAACAGGAAAAACAAAACAAAACAAAAAAACCCTTTAAAGCCAGCTGCCATTGACAGCAGGGCTACTAGATTCCAAGAGATTTTATAGAAAGACTCGGCCTACTGAGAAACCCACCATAGGCCCTGCAGTTTCTCCTCAGCTCTGGAAGCAAGCTTCCAACTCTTTACCTAAAGCGGGAGAAGCGGTGACCTCTAGTGGCCAGTGACCAACCTGCAGGGCCTAGGTTGGCCAGGATCCTCTCCCATGATTGGGGCTCACTCATTGGCCTTTCTGGGCCCAGACTCTCCGCCTGGGCTCTAGGCGCTGTTCCCCTTCCCACCCCTCATTCTGACCTCACACTGCTTGTCTAGGCCCAAGTCGCTGGGTTCCCATTAGGACAATAAAGAACCTCTTTCTCATTTGTCATAATCATCTTTAATAAAAAATAAATTAGTTCTGGGTGGGAATCATTTTAGGAGGTGGGGAGCGGGAGCAGGGGCTAGGGTGTCTTGTTCTAGCCTTTCTTTTTTCCATCTTCTGCCCAGCTGGTCCCTGCTCTGGGGAGGTAGTCTCTCTTTCTGGGGCAAAGCAGGATTGGCAGTGGCTGACCCTCATCCCTAGCTGATTATGAAAGGTAGGGATAGAGAGACTAAGTATGGGGGGAGGGGTTGGAGGACAAATGGGTGGTTTAGAAGATGTGAGGCCTGAACATGAGAACTGAAGTGCAGGGCACAAAGTTGGGGTTGGAGAAGCCAGTCGCCAGGCAGTCTGGATTACTAAGGAGCTCTCAGCCTAGAAAAGTCTCAGGGAAACAGGCATGGTCCCTCCCCATTCCTCTTCAGTTTAACCTCTTTTTTTGAGAATACATGTGTGTGAGCACACACATCCACGCGGACCCGGATACACACGTGGGGCCTATGTGCACACATCCCCTCAACCGCACACAGACCCAGCCACACACACATCGTGATGGTTATCTTGCCGCCCACAACCACCCTAGGGGACATCCCTGATGAGACTAGGGCAGGCTGGAGAGCCAGAGGATATAGAGTGGGCTGATGGGTGGGTGACTGATGGTGGAAACCATGAGGAGAGGGTCTCTTGGACTCATTTCAGGCGGGCTCTGGGGGAGAACGCTCCAGGACATGGGCGCAAGAGCGGCAACAGGTGGCTGTGTAGTAGGGATAGACGCAGAGACGGGCCTGTACCACCAGGGGGCAATGTGGAGAGCTGTCCTTGCACTGATCATCTGGGGACAGAGGAGGCCAGGGGGCACAAGACAGTCACCCAGACCCTTCCGTTTGGAGGTGCAGTGCCCACTCCCACTGGCCCTTTCTCATCTCCCCCACACTTCAGTTAAGTCCAGTGTATTGGGGTTAGGGGGAAAAGGGGGCTCTTTACCGGGGCGCTGGCTGCAGGGCTGGCTGTTACAGGGTCGTTTCCTGGATGGCCGCAGGTGAGGAGGGCATCGGACGCTGAGGGTCTGGTTGGCGGTCAAGCACTGGACCTCCCTTGTCTGCACACCCCCCTGGCAGGAGCGAGAACACTGGGGAGACCCCGACTATCAAATCAGACCTTCGCTGTGACCTAGGCTCCTCCTGAACCCCACCACCTTCCCTGAAAGTAGTATGGGGGGTGGGGGCTCTCCTGGAACACTGTGAAATCCCACATGGACGGGTCCCCCACGTCTATAGGGAGTAAGACAATGGTAAACCATCGCAGCTGGCCTCATCCTGGGATGCAGTGGGGATACCATAAGAGGAGCCCCCCTTTCCCTGGAAGTCCATGCAGAGCAGGGTGAGGGAGCCAGGCACTCACCGGACTCCAGGGCGTGGAAAACCACCGGTCCTGGCAGTCCTGCCCCTGACAGGGCTGCAGGGCAGGAGGCCTGGGCAGGTGGGAACAGTTGCTGGGAGAAGTCACGTTGAACTCAGTACCCAGTTTGGACACACAAATTATGTCTCTACGCTGTGTGCCAGAGCCACACTCCGAGGAACACTGATACACAGGAAAGGGAGGGTGTGCAAGGGGCAGAAAGAACAGGGATCACTCCCACCGGCCCACAGGGAATCCCACCAATGGGCACCCCCCTCCCAGGCTCTTGGCTCACCTCAGCCCAGGGCCCCGTGTACCAGCACCAAGTCATCTCACAGGGTCCTAAGCTGCAGGCACGCATGTCAGGGGGACGGCTTCCGGGCGCACAGCTCTGCTCACTGGTCCCTGCTCCTGATTCCTCCTGGCCCGCCCCATGGGCCTCCCCGCTCCCCAGGCAAACCACAGACCTTCGCTGGATTCCTGTGCCACACTCGGCTGAGCACTGTTGAGAAGGTGATGGGTAGGGGAGGAGGAGAGGTGAGGGTGGTGTGTCCTGGATCCCCAGAGTTAGGGAGTGCCCAGGGTACCAGCCAGATAAGCGGAACCTGTGCTGGGAATCCAGGACCCTAATGTGAGCTTTGCTCACTAGCTCTGAGTTTCTGGCATCAGCAGCATCTAGCACACAGTAGGGCTACTGACGTGTACTATGCATACTGACATGTGTTGGAAAGAAGGGTCCTGGGTGTGGGGCACCAGGGACGTGGGGCTTGGATAAGGGGTGTAGGGCCCACCTTGGAGCTCCAGTCGCTGTGGAACCAGGCTGTAGTACAGGGCCCCATGTCACAGGCCTCTCTGCTGGAGGGCCGTGGAGGGCCTGATGCACACTCCCTCTCGCTCACTTCATCACCATTGTTTCCCACACAGCGAACTTGCCGACTCCTCTGGCCACGCCCACACCGCACAGAGCACTGAGGGTAAGAGAGCATCCCAGAGCCTGGACCCCCAGGCTTCCTCCCTAGCCTCCAGCTCCAGGTCTGTGGCCTGGGAACCAGGACCTGCCTTTTGTCCCTAACTGGGCAGTTACATGGCTTTATGCGCTGAGGGGCAGGCTGAGCAGGTGGCTCTGGGCTGGAACCCCTGGTTCCGTGTCTTATCTCCTTTATAGATGGGGGTCTCACAAGAGATCTTGTCAGTCAAAAAGCTTCTGCTGATTAAAAAAAAAAAAAATGGAAAAACCACTGCTCTAACTCACTGGTGCCTTTCATCTAGGGTCCTTCCCATTCTGGCAGCCTCCTGACCCAGTCCCACTCACCTGGCTCCAGGGGGAACGAACCTCCCAATGGCCACAGAGGCGTAGCTGACAGGGCTGGGTGACATTGGGCCGGGGGAGATGTCCGCAGCGCTCCGGAGGCACGGAGGAGCCACCCCCCCCAAACTCCTGCCGGCAGCGCAGCTGACGGTGCTGGGTGCCAGGGCCACAGGAGCGGCTGCAGGATGTCCATTCGCCAGCCTCCCAGCTGTGGGCGTGGTGGGGCAGGGGAGAGGCAGAGACGCAGAGGAAGAAAACAGAGACACAGAGATGCGTGGGGCTGCCATATGTGGGGCAAGGGATGATGGGCTTGGGGTGGGGAGGCCCTGCAGAGAAGGAGCATCTTCAGAACCTGGAATCTGAGTTCCCTTGTGGGGCTCAGGCTGCCGGGGTTTTCTTGCTGTCTGGGGAATGTAAACCTTTCTACTGACATGCTGTCTGTCTGCAGCCAGGAGACCTTGGGTACTGGGCCCAGAATGCAGGTGGGATCCTGAGCAGGGACGGCTGCTGTGCTTTAGGACCCTAGCCCTCCCTGGGGGTCATACTCACTATGGAGGGCACGGGGGACCGTGGCAGGGCTCCAGGGGGTCTGGGGGCCTGGCTCCCATGGCACAGCTGTGTTCATCCAGTTCCTCCCCTGACTCACGAGAAATGCAGAGGAAAATGGGGCGCCAAACACCTGAAAGGGATGAGAAGGAAACCAGGGGAGGCAGTCTGGCTCAGAGCCCAGCGTCAGTGGGGCCCCAGGCACTGGAATCTGACTTGGCACAGAGTCAAGGTGTGGACCCACACTCCTGAGTGTGGGATCAGGCGTGCCAAGTCAGGGATCTGGGCTGCGGGTGCCCGGAATCCAGGCTGGTACACAAAGTCTCACCTTTCCCACAGGATGCTGAGCACTCCGAGTGTCCCACTCGTTTCCAGTATCCAGTCGGAGACCCCAGGGGAGTCCTGGGATGGGGTGGAGCGCGCATCTGGGGGATCCGCACCTGACGCTGGAGAGTGCCTGGGGTCCGCGCAGGGCGGGGCGCCAAAGCGGGTGGGGGCTCTACCCTCAAAATCTCTATGCAAGGACAGTGGAGCAGACGAATCAAATGCACCCCACTGCCTCCAGACTCCCCTTTCAGTCCCTCCCTGCCTCCCAGGTCTGGGGAGCAGAGTCTTACCCTGCTGGAGGTGGGGGAGGTGGGGCTCTGGGGTGGTGCTCTCAAGATCTGGAGGAGGTGAAGAGATAACATACTGATAAAAAATGCCTGGGTTTTCCTCCTGAAAGATCACCTGGGAAGAGAAAGAGAAGGTAATGAATTGTCTGGGGAAGCAAGAAGGGCATACCACTCGCCTTCCCTCCATCTTGAGACCCACAGCTTTGCCCTCAGAGGGAAAGCCTCCCACCACCCCCCAGCAGTCCAGCTTCCTGGGCCCCAAGCTCACGTAGACATCCACAGGCTGGGTAGTGGGCCCTTTGGCTGACAGACTCTCCCCCTTGCCCTCCTCTCGAGAAGGACGGTTGTACAGGAAGACAGTCCCACTGGCCGTGTAGGACCCAGGGGGATCCACAGCCCAGTTTCCATTGATGATGGACTGGCCCCCAGGGCCTCGAAGGGCTGGAGATTGGAGATCAGGACACCAGATCAGTCGTGATGTCCTTCTCCTAGCACTCCCTAAGCCATGCAGAGCCCCAGATGCCCCCGTTCTCTCGCTCTCTCCACAGGGCAAGGAGGCCCCGACTTCTCTCTGCTTGGCCCATTTGCTGTGTTCAGAGCAGGTGTAGAGGGCTGAACCAGGAGACCAGGAATGGAATGGAGACCCAAGACTCAGGAAATCCAGAGAACTCACCAAGGTAGTTGGAGCTGGGCCGGAGCTGGGCGATCTGGAGCTGGGAGGCTCCAGCAGGAATCGACAGGATCTTCTGATAGCCCAGAGGGCCCCCCCAGTCAGTGAGGTTTCCTGAGATGAGGCGGCAGGTGGAATCATCACCCCCACAGACCCCACAGCCATCTGGACGCCTGCCAGAGCCGAGGATCCCATCACAGCCGGGGCTCTGGGGGAGAGTGAGGCAGGGGCCGCTTGAGACGAGATACCACAGCACCCCAGCCTCATCCTCTTCGGACTCTCCAGCTTGCCCTGCACCTTGATCTTTACTGCAAGTGAGAATGTGTTTCTCTGCCAGCCCACCAGCCCCAGCCAGCCTCCACTGAAGTGTGTATATGCCTGAGGGGGTCCTTCCTACAGTTCACCTCCTGGTTCTGTTCTCACTTCCAGCTGGGCAGGGAAGAACTTTCCTCTGTGCAATCTCAGCCTAGGATTTTGTTTCTGTGATGATGACTAAGGAGACTGTGTGTGCATGCCTATGTGTGTGTGTGCATGCGTGTGCACACACACAGACACACCATCCTCCCTCACCAGACAGCGTCCGGCCACACAGATGTCTAGGGCTCCAGGCTGACACAGGGTCCCATCCTGGACCTTTTCGGTATGACGGACATAGAAGCGGAAGCCACGAGGACGGCAGTTCAACTCACAGCGTTGGGAGCCCTGAACTAAGAAACAGGGTAGAAGGGTGGTTAGCTGAGGTCCCTGGCGAGAGGCCAGCTGGCAAAGGTCCCCAATTAGCTATAGGGCATCCTGAGGTTGACTACGTCACTAGGATGAAGGGAATATGACAATTGTATTTTCTCAAAGGTTCCTTTGAGGGTCACACAAAAGTTGAGTCAGATCAGTTGAGGTCACGGAGACCAGTGAAGAGGCTGTGAATCGTGAGAGAGGAGATACTTGAAACCTATGATCACGCGAGCTCACAAAGGGGTTTCTTGGCATCAAGCCGACACAGGCCTAAAATCAAGTGGATGGGAACTTGGGAACAGGTGGTCTACAGCAGGCAGGGCCCACGGTGCACCACGCCCTGCTGTCTCCCTGACTGTGCCCCTCTCATGTCGACCCCACCTCCTGGGATGGACTTCCCAGAGGAGGCCAGCCAGAAGGTGCCTCTGGACACTCCCCCTCCCAGCCCGATCCCTCTGCTGATGATCCCATCGTCATCTGACAGCTGCGTCCTGTCTGGAAACCCACTCCCCTTTCTGTGCCTGTGCTGTCTCTTCACCCTGGCCCTGGCCCTGGGAAATAAAAGAAAATATTTCACAAAAGGGAAATACAAGGGCCTCCAGAGGAGATCTAGAGGGGCTGGGTGTCTCCCTCTTCCTGCCATCCCCCAGTCTTAAGCCAGTTCAGCTTCCCCAGGGGGGGCTACAAACCTCACCTTCTGTGAAGGGCTCCCATTGGTACAGCTGGCCCATGAACTCCTGGGAGTCAAAGGCTGAACACTGCAGGGCCCGGGGGTCTGGATGCTCAGGGGGGCAGGGCTGAGGTGGGGGGGATACAGAGGAGTCAAAGCTGGGGAGGAAAAT